TGAGACCTGAGACCTGGATTTCTGTTCGAGGCCTGGAAGGAGGGGCACCCCTTACCCTCCTTCCTGGTGGGCTTGGTGGCCTCTGACACCTCCTCCCAGGAGAGCAGGGCTGAGGCTCTCTTCCCACTGCATCCCCAGCATCACGAGAGCCCCTGGCCCAGAGCAGGTGCCCAATAGGTGAGGGGATGAGTTGGGGCCCAGCAGTCTCTGTTTAGGGGTGCCCACACAAACCACCTTCTCACAGCTAATGGGCAGTCGTGACTCTGGTCTGACTTGCTCACCACTGTACACCCAGGGCCTAGCATGTAGGGCTCAGTAAAGACACGTTGAATGAATGAGTGAACAAGTGAGTATTTCAGGCACCCAGGAAACAGTCAGCTGAAGGATCAGACCCTCCCTCTCCATCCGCTCAGTGGTTCTTCCCCTTCTCGTTGGCCTCGCAGAAGGACCACCCCTGGAGGTGGGAGACCGTGAAGGGCACCCTCATGGTGATGTACAGCTGCGTGGCCTCGTATTGCCACCCACAGATGCTCCTCACCCACCTGGACAACCCCATCACTGCCAAGATCGTTCATCACTACTCCAGCAGCTGCCAGGTGAATCTGGGTTGCCACACACCCACCCTGGTGCCTAGGGACACCCTCCTTGAGCCGGGCTGGTGGAGAGTCACTCTGCACCATTACCAGGACACCCCCAGCCCCACCCAGGGGACATCCAGGAGTCCTACTTGACACCCACCGTTTGGGAAGCACTTTGCCACAGTCTGTGCTGTTCTCTGCAGCTGTGGGGTTGGGGCGGGGGGCATCCCCCACCCTCGATGGCTGGGCAGGGTGAAGGTGGGTCCCTGAAGTCACAGCAAAAGCCCCCCGCTCTCCCCAGCCTCTCTCACTCCCTCTGCCTTCACCTCTGCCCCACACCTCGACACCGGACCCCAGCCCTTTCACAAGGGAGAAGAAGTGCAGTTGTCTGCAGAGATGCAAAAAGACTGGCTACTTTCTTGGAAAGACAAGGAGTAGAAAACAGAGAATAAAGCAAACATGACCTAATTTTTATTGTTTTTAAGTTTGCAGTAAAGTACACATGGGATTTGCCATTGTAACTGTTTTTAAGCACACAGCTCAGTGGCATTAAGTACATTGAAACCGTTGTGCAACCATCACCGCTGTCCACCTCCAGACCTAAAACCAAACTAAAACTCTGTCCCCACCAACTCCCCTCCCCTCCCCCTCCCTCCACTTCCTGTCTCTATGCACCTGTCACTCCAGGTGTCTCATATAACTGGAATCTCACAGTGTCGTCCTTTTGTGACTGGCTTACGTCATTCAGCATGATGGCCTCAAGGCTCATTCATGCCGTAAAAGCAAAACAATTTTATCTCTGTAACTTATTCTGCCTCTTTGGTGACGCGCAGGGCTCGGAGTCCCCGGTCTGTGAAGTTGCCCACTGACCAGCATCGCTGCCCTTGGGCGCAGTGCGGGGGTTTGGGGGAGGCAGCACTTTCTGTGGGGCACTGGAGGGTGGTGTGCCCTGTCCAGGGCCTGGCCCGTGTCCCCACAGATGGTAAATGCTCTGTCAGGTGGCTGGAGGACATCATGGGGCTGGCCGTCTCTTGGAGCACCCTGACGCTGACTCTTCTTCAGCTGGGGGAAGGAACATCCCATGCGGCCACAGGGTCCAGGAGCACGGGCTGGGGCCTGGGGTCTCTGGGGCTCACTCACAGCATGCCCCTCCGTGTCCCTCGTCTTGGTCTGTGCGTAGGACATCTATCTCAAAATGGCCTTCTTGAAGAGTATGGTGCAGGTCACCAACGCTGTCAGAAACATCAAGGACCTGGAGGACTTCCAGCTTGCCCAAAAGGCGGCTCTTACTGGCATTATAATGGTAAGCTGGGAACTTCCTTTGTCCTGGGCGGATGTGGGGTCTAACTCTGCTGACCGGCTTCTCCCTGGTCAGAGAGAGGCCCTGAAAGCATCTGAGGGACAAGGGGTGACAGGGGTCTCTGAAGCCCCTCCTGTCTCAGTTCTGCTTTGATCCAACTGTAAAACTTCTGGGTGTGACATTCCGGAATCTGATGAAGGGTTTCATGGCCAGAAAACAGTCTGGAAACCAGGGTTGAAGACCCCGCCCCTCTTGGGCCCTGTGATGCCCCAGAGACGGCCCGTTCAGGGCTGGGAGACAGAGTCCCCTGGGTCAGTCCAGATGTGGTCCCAGTATTTCTCCATCGGAGGGGTTGGGGGTAGGGATCTTTTGCAAACAGGACTTAAAGTGTTACTGAACTGAGATCTGGCTGCTCGCCGCTCGAAATTCAACACTCGAGAGGCAGATGTTGGTAGAAAGGAAAGTTGCTTTTAATCAGAAAGCCGGCAGTCTGGGGAGAAGGTGGGCTCATGTCCCCAGAGCCAGCTCCACAGGTTCTGTTCGGCCATGAAAGGTTTAAAGGAAGAGGGGAAGGAGCCTCAGCTAGTCGCTGAGGCGGGAGCAGACTTGGAGCCGCCTCCCGCTGTGTGCAGGCTCGCCGGCTTCTGGTCATCTTTCTTTAGATGCTTCCTTGTTCACACAGCTTGCATGTGAGATTCCTGAAGGGGAAGCCAGGGAAGAGATCTGGTCACCTGTTCTTTACTTATACTTCATTCTTACTTCTTGGAAGACAAGGTACTGTGTGGTCAAAAGAACTGAAAGGTGTGCTAGTCAGAGTCAGTCCTGCTCAAGATGGAGCAGCAAATGCCATGTCTGCAGTCTGGTCATCAGGCAGTTAGCCTTCTCCCTCTGGTGACAGTTATAGTGTCGGTAAAACAACTCAGGAGTGTGGTCACACAGTGAGTCTGGGACTCTGTTGTCCTCATCATAATGGCTTGAGCCTGCTCTTTTGTGACTCAGGGAGGC